TTTTCGCTATAGGGCGTGTGCGCTCGCCAGACAGACAGAGACAGACATAGAGACAGAAAGCGAGAAATCACCCCCCAGAGGGGATGGTTACGCCGCAATCCCTTCTCCTCCATTCTCCTCTCGGGATCTTGGGCACACACGCACACGCACCCGGCGTGAGTTTTAAGCCACCGGGTCCAGGACGCGAACCACGGTTGACTACGTGGGAGTCCAGCGACATAGCCATTACGCTAACTGCTGGTTCCCTCTGCCTGACTTTTGAATGCAATTGTGTTCGCATTCCCAGTGGCAGCTTTTCTTGTCTGAGTTTGGCTATCAACCTCGCACTTTAACATTTTGCTCTAAAACAGTGCCCGCAGCCAAACGGTCAGGAAAGCACCCGGAGACTGTACTGATGTGGGGAGAGGAGAAACGTCATGCTAACGTTGGCTTTTTCTCCACAGTGCTCCTTCCTGCCGAAGTTCTCCATTCACATAGAAACCAAGTATGAGGACAACAAAGGAAGCAATGACAGCGTGAGTAGCCCCTCGCTCCTCGGTGCCCACCTCTGGGGCTCCAAGGCCGACTACACACAGCGCCTACACCTGGGACCTCAGGCATTCTGGCCTTTACCTACCGGGGTTGTTTATGGAACTTCTCCCTGGAACTGTTCATTGCCTAGCTTCTCTTTCTGCCCATGGTGCAGAATCTCTGTGACCTGCAGTGGTGGTCGCTGGATATTGAAACGGGCTTGACCAGCTGACATAGCTCTGGACTCTCAGGAAGAGGACTGATAAGGAGCAGGTGACGGGAGTGCTTTTCCTGCCACAGTCTGAAAATATGGGGGAAACTTTTAAAATGCATTTTAGTCTTTCCTAACAAATCCCTTTGCTCTCTCTCCTTTTCTCTCTGCCTCTGTTCCCATGGGTTAGTTCAAAGCAGCTGCCCATCGGTGGGGGAGCAGAGAGGATGCACGGCCTCACTGTGACCCTTATGGGTTGGATGGGACAACTGGAATCTTCTGGTTTACCCCCTCTGCTCATTTCAAATAGTCAAAAATACACATGGTTATTACTTAGGATCACATCCTCTTCTTTGGCAGGTGCCAAGTTCCTTTTACTCTTCTTCCAGGAATTTAAACTACCAGGCTGTGCACCTTTGAGTCAGGTTTCATGTGTACACTGAGTCAGTGTCCCCTGCCTATGCCGAGGGCCAGCCCCTTTGAGATAAGCTGGCTGTGAGGAAGCGCTGGGCCACTGGGCACCCTGTGCAGTCCTTGCCAGCTCATCTGCCTCCTCTGGGAGAAATGCCAGCTGTTGGACTCTGCGTTGCAAATCCTTGTCCCCAGCCTGCTGACACCAAGACAGCCCACAGGGCCTGTAACTTTCCCTCTGTCATGACACCCCAACTTGCCCAAATCCAAGTCCAGCCATTTTGTTACATTGAAGAACCCCAAAATGTGTGTGTGTGTGTGTGTGTGTGTTTAGGGAGAGAGAGATTTTTGCTATAGGGTATGTGTACTCACTGGAGTGTCAGAGAGATAGAAAGCAAGAAATCACCCCCTGGGAGGGTACGGCCATGCCACAATCTCTTCTCCATTCTCCTCTCGGGATTTTGGGCACACACGCAAATGTACCCAGTGTGAGTTTTAAGCCCCCGGGTCCAGGACTCGAACCATGGTTGACTATGTGGGAGTCCAGCGACATAATGATTATGCTATATATTTTTGTCCAAGTTTCTACCTCAGCCTCTGTCTGGTTTTGCACTTTAGAGCCTCAGGTCTTGCTTCCAGGGCCACCGGGCCAAACAGCCCAGCTTCACCTCAACTAATTCATCCTCTTTAATTAGCAGGCGGCAGCAGCAGCAGCAGTTGGTCATCCAGCTGGTTCCAGGTTGGTCCCAGAGAGGCAGAAAAGGAGAGTTGCATAGGTTTTTGTTCAATCTTATGAATGCTTCAAAATCAGAACATAAGAAATACATGCATTTCTTGTGACCAGCAGTTGGTGTAATGGCTATGTCATTGGACTCCCATGTAGTCAACCGTGGTTAGAGGCTCAGACCTGGTGGCTTAAACTCACCCTGGGTGCAGGTGCATGCGTGTCCAAGAGGAGAAGGGACTGTGGCGTGGCCATCCCCCTGGGGGGTGATTTCTCGCTTTCTGTCTCTTTGCCTCTGTCTGTCTTTCTGGCGAGCGCACATGCCCTATAGCAAAAACCTCAAAAAGAAGAAAGAAATATATGCATTTCTCTGTGGATTGTTTAATTATTAAAAGATAGCTTTGAGGCCAGCCCTAGGCTAGTGGTTAAGGAAGCCAGATTCCCACATGGCCAGTCAAGCAGTTTGAATCTCAACCCTGGCAGCTTCAAAAACTCACTGTGCACATGCATGTACATAGATGCCCCAAATCCCAACAAGATGGAGAAATGGAGGAGAAGGGATTACAGCATGGCCATGCCCCTCTGGGGGTGCTTTCTCCCTCTCCGCTTCTCGAGTGAATGCAAGTGCCCTCTAACAATTAAAAATTAATTAATTAATTAATTAATTAAAAAGGAAGGAAGGGCCAGCAGGTGGTGTGGTGGCTAAGGTGCTTGAGTCCTACATGGCCCACCATGCTTTGAGTCCCAGACCTGGCAGCTTGAAACTCATGCTAGGCATTTGTATGTGAAGGCATTGCGGCATGGCCGTTTCCCCACAGGGGTGATTTCTCACTTTCCTTCTCTCTGTCTCTTTCCAATGAACACACATGTCCTGTGGCAAAAACCTAGAAACAAACTTTTGTCCTGCCCAGGATTCAAAACTAGAGCTGGAAGCCTGCAGCCTACACTAGCGTGCTCTTTTTCTGTCCAGGATGGATTACAGAGTTTTGGCAGGGAGCAGAGTTACCAGGGACGGTAGTGCAGTAGTGGAGATTTCTCTGGTCTCGATACTGCACTACCTTCCACGTTTCCATGTTATTTAATAAAATCAGCTCATTTCTTTGCATTTTCTGAGTGTTTAGTCTTATCATCTAGCGATCATCCTTCATACTGCTATCTGCACCCTGTTTCTTCCCCTGCCTGCCAAAAATTTAATGAAAGTGATGGCGATAAGAAGCAATAATTAAATTGAAAGACACTAGTGATAATCGTATTGATTAGTGGTTGAAGAGGACATGCTGTTATCTTATTATCCATTACCATATAAGTATTTTTTTTACATGACTCAATATCTATTTTTTTAAAAAATTAAGGAGCAGGATGACTAACTGTAAATATCTTCTTGTTCAAAATAAAGCTAGCATATTTATGATGGTGAAAACCTGCAAACTGATTACATTAACCAGGACACAATGGGGAAGTTGTCTTAAATTGAGGCCTATTTATTTTATGCACGCACTGATGGGAATTATTTAGGCCTTAATTAGCGCGGGGAGGCCGGCTCCATGCCAAGGCAAGTTGCGGTTGTTTGTCCAAGGCCGTAAATCTAGACCTGGGAGATCCGTGCTTAGCAGCGCCTGGTTCAGCTAAAGGAGAGACTGCTTGTGTGACAGCTGCTGCCAGGTTACTGGCCTTCCACAGAGTTAATGGGGCAGCCCTGCCTTTACTTCCTCTTTCAAGCAAAGCAGACACCCTCTAAGCTGTGGGTCTCAGCCTTGACTACACATTGAACTCACCCGGGAAATGTTAGCAACCTCCATTGCACCCGGCTTGGAGTTGATTCAACTGGTCGTAGGTGCAAACTGGCCTAGACCTGCCAATGTACAGTTCCGTCCAGAATGCAGAGTTCTCCCCTTGGGAGTGGACACCGTCTTAGCGCCTCCTCCGCAGAGCCTGTTACGTTCCCCTAGGGGGGTGTAGGTTACGTCCTAGAGGCTCTAGAGCAGTGGATGTCGTTTGTGGCTGTGTATTAACACTCACCCAGGATGCTTTAGCTATTTTTGGTGCTGCCATAAAATCCCCAGGGATTCTGATTCATTTGTCTGGGATGAGACTCAGGCACTGGGATTTTGAAAGCTCCCTTTAGTGAATCTAAGGGGCGATAGGTTGAGAACTATAGATTTAAGGAGATTTAAGTACTATTTGAAGCCAACTGAAAATCCTTAAAAAAAAAAATCCTCCCAATGCCTTTACTTCTTCATACTCCTAGGAATAGAACAGTTTACAAAAAGTGTGTTTAGAACCATCATCCTACCCCCACACACACACACACACACTCATGCAATAAAAGGGCCTTAATAATCTTGTTAGCTGCATATTGTCAAGGACTTTATTCCTCAGCAAGGAAGAGCAAAACACCATCTTTCATGGAACTCTCCTTGGAGATTACCTGAACAAAGTATTTAGAATCTACTTATTTATTTTAATAAATTATTTTATTAGAATTAGTAGGATTATACTTATTAGAATTATTTATTTATTTTCTAGTTCATCTCTGTTGTAAGAAAAGAACAGAGGGTTGTTCTTTGTGAAACAAAAAAACTCAGTATTGAAGTTCCAGCTATATGGCCTTCAGTGTTTCCCTTAACCAGTCAGAGTCTTGTTTTTTTTGTTTTTATCAAGAAAATGGGATAAATAAAGTGCACATCAGAGTGGAGGATGCATAGAGGTGAGTTTACGTGAGAGGGCTTCAGAAACTGTAAAGTGTTGTGCAGATATAAGCTACCATGATGGTCATTCCTTGGGATTATCTGTGTTAACATTGATTTCCTAATGAGACTCTGATTTCGTCTGAATTCTCAATAAACCATTTGGTGTTCAGTAAATTTTGAGGCCCTACGATGTGCCAGGTATTAAGGATACAGCGTTGATTCAGACCCACCTTTCGCTACCCATGGAGCGGGAGGAGACAGATTTAATAAGCAAGTAAACAAAAGAATTACAGCTGCAATAAGTGCTAAGAAGGCAAAAACAGGCTGGGGCAGGGCTCAGCTTGAAGCCACATGGTCAGAAGAGACCTCTTAGAAGAGATGACAAGTCCAGGAGAGACCTGAGATGGGAAAGAGCCAGTCATCGAAAGGGTTTTCCAGGCTAGGGGACTGTGATGTGCTGAGTTTTGTGTCCCCTCTTCCCCTTTATATATTGGAGTCCTCAGAATGTGATGGTGTCTGGAAATAGGGTCTTTAAAGAGGTGAAGACAGTGAGTCCACTAGGCTGGGCTCTTATCCAATATGACTGGTGTCCGTGTAAGAAGGGAGAACTTGGCCACACAACGAGACACTGCGCAGAGCGCATGTATAGAGAGGCGCTGTGGAGACTCAGCAAAAGCTGGCCATCTGTAAGCCTAGAAGACAGGCCTCCGGAGAAACCGGCCTGCCAACACCTTGGTCTTGGACTTCAGAGTCGTGAGACGATTCAGTTCTCTTGTTTAAGCCTCTTATTTTATGGCAGCCCCAGCGCACTAGTACAGAGGCAGTGAGTGCAAAGGCTGTCACCCCTGCCCCATCCCAACTTATGTGGGACCTTCAGAAAGTTCACGGGCATGCATCTAATGACAAAATCATACGCAGATTAATTTTGTTGTACCAAAATAAACTCGTACGTTAATTCTATTTTTTATA